TATGTCCTCTGATGCTCCTGTAGACTGTTCGGCTCCTTGCTCATTAGTAATCATCTGCTTTTCTGTTGTCTGAACAGAAAGGTATAACTTCATCAAACAACAATTGTTCCAACTTATTAAGCTCTAACACACAAAGCACAGGATATTCTGCAATTAAGATCATTCTTATTCAGAAAATTTAAAAAGAATGAATAAAATCATTAATCATTTTACCATTATCCACCATACAGAGTGATCAAAAGTCATGCAAGCCATTCCTGACACATGTTCTATTTGTCAAAATACAAAATACTGATATCAGAAAACAAAAAACAATGTTATAATATATTAAGTGCACTGTTTGACAACTTTGAAAAGGGAAAAGAAATTAATGAATTAATGTTCAGCTGTTATTATTTCACTGAAGAAAATGGTACCAATTATCCTCCATCAACACAGCATGTCACACTCCAACGTTTAAGGAGTGTAACGGTCTTTCATGGAATGTATGCGGACTTTCAGTACTTCATGAACTGCTGTTTTGGCTATTAGAGCATCCTTAATCACTCTAGAAAATTTGACAGACAGCATCTAAATTAGTGACAAACACAGTTTCTGTCCTGCATGCTTCCTGTGTCTTGGAAACAGTTCATCAGACAAGATTCTGTCAATTTGCTTGGCACAGAAGAATTGGGAAATGTATCAACATGGGATGCAGGCCTTCTTGAAAATCCTGTGTAATGCAATCAAGGATGGCAAATCTTGGAAAACTTATGTGTAAAACACACATTTTCTTAAGCAAAGAATGTTTTACATTCTTTCCTATAATTATGTTGTTTAAGTTGTCTACTTTACAACAAAGGGAGTAAAGTTTGTCCCTAGACATACAAATATCCAACATTCTGATTTGAATGGTTGTACAGAACATGGAATAACCTTCTACTGAACTTCACTTGACTCTCATCTAAAACTTTAAGTATAAAATATATATATATATATATAAACTTTCTAATACTTTCCAAAAATCCTTTCAGTATTGGTCACAATGCTATAAATGTCTTTAAATTAAGACTTCAGATTATTAGCTTTGGGAACAGAAAATAAAATGGGGCCAAATCAGGTGTGTAGAGTGGATGTTCTAACACTGGTATTTCTTTTTTGACAAAAATTCCATGATGTCAAAGAATTATTCAGGTGAGTATCTTCCACATATGTTTTGGATAACCACCATTACTTAATTTCCTGCTCAGGTAGTGGCATTTCATTCACACATGTAATATTAAACCAAAGATGGCTTAGTCCTCAGACCTTCATTAGTGTTAACAGGGTATATTATATGGATGTAAGACTGGAGAAGTTTTATATAACTGAGGACATTGAACATTGGTGTCTGTTGGCAAGGGGAGTACCCTGAATATGAATGTCTATTAGAATCCAACTACAAAAGTGAACATGCAAGCACTGACAATAAAATTCATTCATTCCACATCTTGTAATAAAATTGTACCTACCACTTCATCCAATTCCAATCCAAACTCAAAGCAAAGGTCACTGAATTGATCATCAGCTGTAAGTTAAAAAATTATATGATAAATTAAGTTACTGATATCCTCTAAGAGATATTTCTCAACTTGGCTTGCATACCAACTGGGAAGCACAAAAATGTTCATAGATATAGTGTTAAACAGAAATATAACTGCAGGTATTTGCTGTTTATCTTTCACTTCTAATTTTCGTTAATGCAATTCATGAAGTATACACCTTGCCAGGAAGCCACGGCCATCCAGCTAACAATCAGAAGCCTCAGTAGCTTTACTAACCCAGCTATTCAGTTTTAATACTTTCTGTCTTTTAAGTATGCCTGAATGGACTGAGGTAAACCACAAAAACGTCAATCAGGATAGCTGGTCTCTGAGCCGAGATAAGAACCTAGGACCTCCTGATGCATGTGAATTAAGTCTTGGTCTATCAAATGTTTCAACATTTTATTTTTGTATAAAATATCTGCCACAAAATTAAACCTTAAAAAAATGGAACAGGCCACAAGTGTTATAGAAGACTTATGAAACCATAGGTGGTACACTACTGAAGATTTTGATGCCAACATAGCACACCTTTTTGAAAATATGAAAGGTCCGTAACTAGTATATGAAGGTGGTTCTTATTCCTTGTGTGAACACTATGTAAAGTTGGGCCTGTCTGAAAAAGTTCTCGGTTATTTATGATGAAATTATGTTCACTAGCAGCAAATGAATTTCTATGCTCATTATAGGTTTCTACATAAATATCTTGGTTTGGCACCAGTAACTTACTATATTCTTGACCGAGAGCTTTAAAAAGTAAATCTCTCTTCACTCCAATGATCGGCATGATAAATTACGACTCATTAAGAAGAAATTATTCGATAAATTAAAAAAGACACGCGCGAACAAAACTTCCACAAATTCGATACTGTCGCTCCGAACACAGATAGTTCCGACCACAGGCGATACCAAATATAAAACCTTACCACAGATAACTACATACGAACGTCAAATGATGGGGACTACCAACTAGAACTGAACACACATTACAATTACATAATCCGGTAACAAAATGTAAGACGTTGGCAACGCAAGTGGCCTATAACATCACAAATACGCCATATATTGTTTTGTAATTGACATTTGTATACGTTTTGAAACTACGGCAAAAATAGTGTTACCCCCGTTTGCGTAAGCAAATTCCCATTTTAAGGCTCCGTTTACCGTTTCCAGCAATGCGTTTCGTACACAGGAATGGTGTTACCTAGCAAGGGACATCTTGAGCTTACACAGGACTCCGCCCTTGGTTTTTGGGTTGTTGGCAAAAATAGTATGGTTGGTCAGGAACTACTCAACCAACACTGAACTTACACCTTCCCCAAGTCGAGACACAGGAACGGTTCATTTAAAGAAATATGTAAACTCTTATGGGATATTGCATCTTCCAGTCTTGGTGGAAATGTAAGGAATATGAATAAACTCAATTATCAGGGTAATGCCCTGAACGATTTCAAACAATATTGGTTTTACAGTTGATATCACATCACAAACATGCTTCTCCACATTACGAGACAGTTATGCATGTATAATAACACACCGCATTGTCAGCTTCCCATGTGACCTTCGACATATTGTAACAATGACAGCTTGGTAGGTATTTTATATCAATCTATGATCACAACCCTTTCAAAATGGTCACCTAAACCATATTTAAATATTCAATTCTTGTTGCAAAAAAAAATACATCTCCATCACAAATATAAATTAGACAGCGCTGTTTTGGGAAGTAATCACTTTTCACTCTGAGAATCCTACGAAAAACATAAATACACATGAGGGCAATATACAGATTTTCAGTACAGTTTGACAGTCAAAGAATATAAGTATTTATATTTGTAATGTTTACATTTGTATTCTTCAACTGCCTTAACTATATTTGTGCTTCAACACTCCAGTGAATATGGTCTATTCAAAATAGTGACTCAGGGGGCTTTCATGCTTTTGCATCCACCCAATTTACCACATCATGCTCATATCTGCTCCCTTTATTTTTTTTCATCATTCTTTTCCTATCTGCTGGCCTCTTTTGCATTTTGAATACCCACTTGCCACAACCAAATTCTGTTGAACATAGTTACATGTGACAGCTACTTCCCTTTTAGGGTTATTCTCAGTATGCAGTTTTAAGGCCCTGTATGTTTACATAAATATTGTCAGTGTTTGACCTGACCAGCAGGGACCTGTACTATCTCTCTGGTTCTCTCCTATGGTCTTCGGTACAAACTCAAACAAGTATCCTCAGATAACTCAGCAGTGAAGATTAAATACATTCTTCTCGCTGCCACCAGCTGCAAGATCCAGATGTCAGAAACGAAGAGTCAATTCATACATACCCCCCATAGACCCCAAGAAGTCTGGTACTCCACTGCCACTTACTGGGGTGTGTTACACAAGGAGGTTAGTGTCATGCTGAAAGGGTTACTGCTGAAAGGGAATATGATGTAATCTATCACAAGTCCTCTGAAACCTGTGGGCGGTTTGTACCCATTGTAGGTGCTTGAAGATGTACAATTTTTCCTTTGGGTACAACCAAGAGATGTTCAGAGAACGATTCCTCCAACATGCTTCCTGACATTGGGAATGGCTGAGGTTCTCCTTCCTAGCACAAACTGGAGAACCACTAGATGGCTTTGTTTCTTTGTCCTCCTGTTGGCAGACTGACACGACATTGGCAGTTCTGAAGTGCAAACCAATTTTTATGAATTTTTCAAAATGAATGAGACCCAAACAAAAGTCAAAAGGTGACTGAACCTTTGTCTGATGTTAAATGTTACATCCCATTTCTCAAGATGCAGCATACCTACATGGAAAACACCAAGAAGTAACTGGATTATGTTTCCAGTAGAATAAAATAAGAATCACATATGTCTAGTTCACCTCACAAGTGCCTTTTATCTTCGAAATTCTCTAGTTTGTATATTTTAAGACAAACATGACCGTTAAATAACCTGTCATACTGCCACTGTTGTGTAGGCATAACATATTCTGAAATGGTTTATTCTGTATATTTTAAGGACTCTACCTTGTTTGTTTTTTAATATTATTTTACATGTTATTATTTCCTAGCCCTTGTTTGTGGCTGTAGCATGGTCATTTGAAATAATGAAAATAGGGCCATCCCTTCACTGGAAAAAGAGACTACTCAAACTGTGAAAACATTGCACAAGCCAAAACTTTACAGAAATGTAATGTGGATTTTGTGCTTAATAGAATATACTAATTTTGTACCATAAAATTGGGGTGAACCTTTAGGTAACAGTGATGATTCTGTGCAAAAATGTTGATATCCACAAAGTCAAACGTCAGCATTGTGAATAATTTTGAAAACAACATTTTAAGACAGGGTACTTTCTGAATTTATGAAAAGCAAAATTTGTTTTATCATATCCAAAGGTCACATTTAAGGGGAATATGGG